CTCACTACCTATAATTACCCTTCAGCTACGTACCAAGTTCAAGGCCAGTCAAAATTACAAAGCAAGATGCTGCCTCAAAAAAAAAAAAAAAAAAAAAAAAAGTCAGATTTTTCTACATCAGTGATCTCCCATCTTCTCTGATTTGGCTTTAAATAGGTATGTCCTCCAGCATTTCCAGGCTTATATTTTCTCATACTGGCCTCCCCAACAGAAAAAGTCTCTTTGACAATTATTCACAGATAAATTCCAGGCTGATTTCTCCTTGGCCTAACTTGCATTCTCTCCCCTAAACAAAAGACAGGGAACGCACATCTCTTTTCTAGACTTGAGTCTTCATATGTCCATTCCTGGACCCAAAAAATGGAGTGGATCCCACATGGACTGACTATGGAAAAGATGATTCTCCAAAATAAAAGCTGGGCTCTTTCTATCAGAAAGGGAGAAATGGATTCCAAAATGAGTGTCAGGCCTGGGGTTGTAGTTCAGTGGCACAGAACCTGCCTGGCAAGCACGAGGCCCTGAGTTTGACTGCTGGTACCAAAATAAATAAATTATTTACAAAGATGTATGAGTGTTCTCAAAGTTTTATAGGTGAGACTCTTACTACTTATATAACAATTATATTAGAAATATGTAAAATCTAGGGACAAAATTTTTTTCTCTTAATTTACAATGTTCATGCTTTTATAACGATGATTTATTTTCATTTATTGCCATGGTTGAAGACAAAAATTTTTTTCAAGTAATTCTAGATATTGGTAAGACCTATATTACCTTCTATGTTAGCACATGTTTAATATTTTCTGGATTGAGATCCAGGCATTAGGCAAATACTGAGGCAAAGCCTTTCTTAACCTACTTCACCCTTCCACTTAGAGGACCGATCAAATGGCATCATGTTGGACACTATTTCCAGGTCTTTCACCCAACCTACCCAAGACCTCCATGGCTGCCACTACCAATCAGTTCTACCCACCAAAAAGCTCACCCCTTCCTGCTGTCTGTTGTGGTCATAAAAAGTCAATGGAAATGCTTTGGACAGGTTGAGAACTTCAGACCCTACTTCAGAAATCTAGAACTATCTCAGGAGTCTCCATCTGTGACTACTCACGATTCGGAGACTTGCTCCTCAGCAACATTACTCAAATCAAACAAGAAAACCCATCTTAGGTTTTTGTTGCTGTTGTTGTTGTTGATGATGATGATGTTACATTAAGACAAGTGTTATATTTAGAATGGAACAAGGAATCTCAAAGCTAGAAATTAATGCAGTGATCACCTACTCCAGTCCAACATTTTCTTAGGTAAGAAAAAGAGACTAACAGGCGACTGGCAGCAGTAGATGGCATGCCCCATGTCTGCTAAGAAAGCCTTCATTGTGGTGACTGACAACAGCCACAGGAATAGAAGAAGGGAAAGGGAAAGGAGAAATCACCTTTCCCAACCAGTTTCTACCCTTCATTATCCTACAGACTTATTTTATTCTTTGATGTATTCACTTACTTCCCCAGCAAACATTTTTTCAATGCCAGTCATGTAGCAGGTTCAAGGCAAGTCTCAAATGAAGAAGACCCTGCCCTTCCCCTCAGACACTCAGTCCAATGGGAGAGATAGACAGGGTAGGTAGTGGACTGTGCCCAGGAAGTGCAGCAGGACAACTGACAGAAGAGACTAAGGAGGAAGAGGGTGGAATAGGGACTCCTAATCCAATTCAATGGCAGCAGAATAGGTGGCAGTGGGGTCTCATAGAAGTCTCCATTGATGAGATAAAAGTGAGTCTTGACGAGCAAGTTGGGAAGGAAGGACAGCACAGTGAGGGAGAAAAAAAAAAAACAAAAACAACAAAAAATTCAACAAAAGAAGGACTGCAAAATCAAGGCAGCCCAGGGTGGGGATGTAACTGAGGGGCACAAGTGCCTGCCTGGCAAGCGCAAGGTCCTCAGTTTGATTCCAAGAACCAACAAAAATAAAAATAAAAAAATAAAAAATCAAGGCAGCCAAAATGCAGCTTAGGGTACATAAACGGTGATTAGTAAACTTAACAGAAATCAGATCATGTAGAATCTTTTTAGGGCAAAGTAAGGAACTTAGCAGTACCATGTAAAACCTTTCAACACATTCTTTGCAGGGCAGTGTGTGGTTCACTTTTCATTTTTGATGATCAATTTGGCAGTTGTAGGTTTTAAGAGAACAAGATAAATCAAGGAGAAAAATGGGTAAAAGATCGAATCAACAAAATTACTTCAAAGGCAGTTTGGAAGAAGTGTATTTGGAAATATTTAGGAGACCAAGACCAGAGCAGCAGCTGTGACTATCTGCACTGCTTGGGCAGCACAGATGCAGGTGTTTCCCATGGGCTCCACGGATGCAATGCAAGGCCAGGGTGTTCATGTCATGTCTTGGGAGCTGCCTAAAAAAGCCTCCCAGGCAGAATACCTTGATTTGATCATTATACATTGCATGCATACCTCAAACCACCAGAGTGGATCCCCAAACCCCATAAATATGCAGTTATTTTATATCCAAAAAAAGGGAAACTTAGGAGTTACCAACTGACTGTGGGATACACAGCCAAAGGCAAGAGCTGAATGGGCTGTACCCAGAAATCAGTTGTGGAATATGTCACACTTATCACTCTGGAAATCCCCACAGGAGGAATTCCGAAGAACAGACAAGCATCCCATGACAGAATCAGCAGTAATAACCAAAATAGACAAGGACAGTACTGGTTGGGGAGGAGAGGACAACTCTTGCTTCTCCACATCTCACTGAGGAAAGCTGAGAAAGAAGAGAGTTTTAGGGTACTGTAGGTCCCCCGAATGTGAGATTGATGTTTTTATATTAGACTAGGCTAAATCCTTTTACCAACAAAAAATGAGCTATAACTACCTAAAGAAGGATTTTTTACATATTTGAAGATGATTAGAATAAGATGTACCCAAGATCTTGTGTAACGGTGAGACGGTAGTAGCAATATGTCATGGTTGAGAATAATGTTCAGAGAAAAAACTAAGCCAATTCCTGTCCTTTTGCTCCTTGAATGTGTTTTCATCGAATTTGTTCCATCCTCTGAAACAGTTTTAATGACATCTCAGTTCTCCACAGTCACATCAGGTAAGACTATTTTTTTAATTTAAAGAGAAAAAACAATAAAAACAGTGATAGAGAATTTCATAACAAAATAATGGGAAATTAATAAAGATTAATATATGATCTTCAAAGTAGTTGCTCAGATCACAAGATATAGGCACACAAAACTGATCAGACAATATAAGCACAAACTGTTCTCCTCAATGAACAAAAAGAAATTAGTATAATTATCTTGGCTGTTATATATATTTTTTTTCTTTTCCCTTCCTTTTCTCCCTTCCCCTATCCCAGTTGTTTCCTTTTGAGCAGTTTCTTTACCTTCCATGATATCTATTGTAGATTTCAGATCTTATTTACTTTTTCTGTTTCTTACACTAAGGAGACAATACAATGTTAAGACTCTTTCTCAACACACGGTCTCATTATATAATCCAAGGTGGCCTCCAATTTTGAGATCCTTCTGATTCATCCTTGACTGCTAGGATTACAAGCATGTGCCACCACATCTGGCTTCATTAGTGTCGTGTTGATTATGACAATTTATTTTGGTTGGTTCTGTCAAGTCTAGTTAAACCATCAACATTTTTTACTTCTTAAGCAAATGATGCTGTTTGTCTCAGAGTTGAAGTGTCACCTTTATTTTCTGGTTTGCTCCTGCTTGCACTTAGCATAATCTGCTTAATCTACTTGTTCATTTTGTAAGAGTTAGCTTAGTTAAAATTAGGTATAATAATTCATAAATGCAATTCCAAAAGTATAGATAAACTGCAACCATTACAGTGTTCTGAAAGCACCTGACTGAGGTGCCACCCCAGACCTTTCCCTATGGACACACTCTCCCTTGAGACACACCAAGCCTCATGAGCAGCCTGCCTGTATCTGACACACACTAAAAGCACCAGTGTCAATATGTAAATTAACTTTTTTTTTGATGCAGGGTCCAACATTATAGTGTCTGCTGGCCTTAAACTCACTATGTAGCCCAGGGTACCCTTGTATTCACTGTGATCCTCCTGCCTCAGCTTCCCAAGTGCATCACCACACCTGGCTGTGAATTAGATTTAAATGAAAAAAAAAAGGTCAGGGGGAGCTCTACTATTTTCTGCTCACTTCCCAAGGAATCCTCTTTCATATAGCTGCAAGTGTGCCAGTATCTGGAGACTACTAATGAGATTCACCTCCTGCTCTGAACACCCATTCCAGAATCTGTCAGGCAGGAATGGGGAGAAAGATTTGTTATGTAATTCATCCTTTCAAAGAGCCATAAGTGTTTTTCGCTAAGGGAAAGACCGGAGAGGGCAAAGTTGATCTCTGATCGGTGAAAGACAAAGCAGCTCTCTTGTACAGCATGTAAAGTGGTAGTCCTTGGGAGCACCCAGGAGACTAAGCACACCAAGGGTTCAATCTAGGGAAAAGGGCTACTTATTTATTACTCTTATCAACCAAAGAGCAAGAATTCTGGTGAAGTTGTGATCTACAGGAGAGTGCTCAATGGCAGCAAGGTCCTTCTCTTATAGACCATTTCCTTAAATGTTTTTAGACTCTTGTATTTATGGTCTTCTTGATGACCTTATGCTCCATGTGCCATGCAGATATTTCTGTCTACTAATTTCCTGAGCTTATTGTTCGTAAGTTTGCCCACCTACCTTAAAATATCACCATTATTGTGGTATTTTCTCTGTTTTCCTTATGCTAGAACTCTGAATGGTATACTCCAGTTGGCCTTCAAAGTCTTCCTCCTCTTCTATTTGCCTATTCTTGAGGATATTTTTGTAAGTCTCATAGAGATGTACATTGGATATTTCCTCCAACATAGAATGCATTTTTCATTCTGAACCCAGATACATATCTGTCTTTATCTTTTCATGAATATACAGTATTTTGCATTATATTACATATATTATACATACTTCAGAGTTGTGTGTCATACAGGTAGCTCTTTCGTAGTTTTTTTGTGCACATATGTTAATGAAGAATTCTGAAATAACAAACATAATTAATGGAAGAACAAAAAGAATAAATAACTTTAGGGACTACAAATTAGTGGGTAGTTTTACAGGTTAAAAAAAAAGTACAGGGATAATGTGTAATTTTGGCAAATTCCTTCATATATATCCTTCATGCAAATGTAGTATGAATTCTAACCTACTTTTTCTTTAACCTCATTTGGGTAACAAATGCTATTTCTGGTTCAGTGGTAGAAAAAATATGAAATGAAACTTTATAAGTATTTTGCTATAGAAAAAAAAAAGGTAATGGCCCATTCCATTACTGTTGCCACTTTATCCCATACCCACTAATATCTCCCTAATGCTAAAATTATGGTCACCTGCTTTATTCATGACCCTCAATGTACTTTACATGATCCTCAATGTTCTCATACTAGTAGAATTTACTAGACACCTATAAGATGATATCTGTTATACTGATTTTGGTAAACACATTCTTGGAAGGCATCAAAGAAGCTGCTGTTTGTCACTTCTTATGTAGCAACCAAATCATAAATTATTTTTAAATTTGAAAGCTTATTTTTTAATATGAACTAAAAAACTGAACAGGCAAACTCAAGTTTCCTGTTCTGTCTATACACTGCAAATGTTAGTTTCTATTACTTTGTTCCAGAGCATGAATTTACTTTTTTAAAGAATCTGAAGAATGAGAGGTTTAAAATATTATTTCCAGATTACTTCAGTAAAAGAATATGCACAAAGAACAGAAATTCTATTTTGAAAGACAGATAATCCTGTGAGTTTCTAGAATCTTTTCCTCTCTCATTTGACTTTATTGGAAAATTCTTGTCTAGTAAAAGGACGACAAAGTTTCTTTTGCCACTCAAAAGGAACCATGTAGTGGAGCTTTGATGTCCACCATGGCCGCTCCCCTTGTCCCACTGCAGAGCATCGGCTGTTAATGTCTCCCGACGGCTTTCTTCCTTTGAGAATTATCCTCCACCAAACAGGAACCATTTGACCAAGAAAGTTGTGGCCTCTACTTCCTATAGGGAGAACCCTCAATGGATGACTGTCATCAGGGTACCAAAGGCCTGGCCCTCTTGTCTCCAGGGGATGTAACTCTGTGGTGTAACTTGTGTTTTAGATCTCTCACTGGGTCAGGTTGAAGGCCGTCTCCAGCTGAGTTGACATCCTTGTTTAGCATTCTATCATGCTTCTGTCCTTTCCTTCATCCAGGAACAATGCACAAATAAATCACCCAAGTAAGAAACTCCGACTTCCAGATTCTTATTTAGACAATTAAACAAGAGGCTTCTCAAAAAGAAACATTGTTGCCTGGGCCACGTGGGTTAAATCTCAGAAACTGGTTGTTATCAATGGTTTATAGATAAAAATGTATTTAATAGCTATAATACTATTTAATAACTACAATATTGATAATACCTATAACATATAAGACAATATATTAATTAATATATGAGCTATCAGAGGATCACCTGCAGAAACATTTTACTCTTTATTTTTTTAGCAAAAGCCAAGTAAAAATTTTTAACTAAAGGGTTGAGGGTGGATGTGGCTCAGTGGTAGAACACTTACCTACCAGGCATAAGGCTCTTGAGTTTCATCTCCGGACCTGTAATAAATTATGAATAAATAAATAAGCAAGCTAAGGATTTCACTGTTATATTCAAAAGCAAGAAAAATGGACCTGTTAAAAATATTCTCATTTGAGTAGCACTTAGCTACTCAACAAGAGCAAGAATTCTGTCTGTTAAGACCAGACTAAAAAATACATCTCTGCAAAATTTTAAGGCAACAATAGTGATTTCTTAGGCCACAATTCAGCCTGTCAATAGCTTCTAGCAGAACTCTCGCAGTATGGAACATGTAAAGTAGTGAAAGGATCTGGCCAAGCCAGAGAAAACAGGATGATAATTAATCACCTCAAACCTGGACTGAATTCTCAATGTTGTTTTAATGGCTCAGCTCTCTTCTAAGCCATCAAGTCTCTTTATAGAAGGAAAGAAATACCTGCAGCCAATTCAGTTTTTTTAGCTTTAATGGAAAGACTATTCATTCTAAAAATATTGAGTGGTTCCTATGTGCAAAACACTTTGTCAGGTGCTGCGGAGAACACAGAGAAGTAAATAAGATTCTGGAACAGCAGTGATACATGCAAAACCAGCCACATTTGGCTTTGGAGTACCATGGTACGGAGGATGCTGGCTCATGTCACATTGGGAATGGATCCACCCTCTTTGCCTTTCTCACTTCTCTTTTCTCTGTCCTCTTTTCTATTGTATATTACTTTATTTTACCTTCTCAACTAAATTATAGGTAAATATCATTTCTTAAATTAGCAGCTTAAATTCCTGCTACTCCTTTTATTCTGCACTTCCTCTCTATGATGACCCATCAAACCTCTTCCTTTTCCATTTTCTAGAGATAAGAGAACAAACATGAGTTAGGCTATTTTGTCTCAAAATGTGTTATGGATTGTCTAGCTCAGATGAAGCGGTTGCTAGATGGGGTGAAAATTACTCATTTGCAATAAAGCCAAAGAGGTTTTTCAACTTTCTTAAACTTAGCAACAGTCAAAGATAGGTCAAGCACATTGGCAAAATGAACGAGCGTAGGTAATGGCCCTTTATATTACTACTTATATAAAGTTTATAAAGTTCTTGTACATATTGACTGTATTTCATTTTACAGCAATCTTGTGAGTCCAACCACGGAGAAGTTAATGGTCTGATCCTGCTGCAATAAGAGAAAAGCCAGGGCTTGAACCCAACTCTTAGCTCTGAGTGTTTACTCCAAGTCTGCCTCCTTTAAGCTGTGAGAACACTAGATTCCAGTTTTTCTCTCCCATACCCATCACACTTTAGCCACTACCTAAATTATTAGCAAATGTCCTTCACTGGGCATAATGGTGCACACCTGTAATCCCAGCAAGTGGGAGGCTGAGGCAGAAGGACTGTCATTTGAATGAGCCAGCCTGGACTCCATAGTGAGTTCAAGGTCAGCCTGGACTGCACAATGAGACCCTGTGTCAAAAGACTTTTTAAAAAAATACCAGTAACAAAAACTGTCCTTCAGAATGACAAATCTATGGAATATTACAATTTATCCTCTATTCTGCCCAAATCTTTAGAAGATTAGGTAGATAACATATAACCATCACTTGACAAATAGTAGGTTAATTATAACTACCATTCTTTCTCTCTCCACTTGGCAGGTAATGATGCTGTGAGAAACATATTTTACTGACCCACTCACCAGTAGAAACTATGAGATGGAAGACAAAAAAATGATGCAAAGCCTATCGCACTAGCATTCATACACTGGTTTTTAAAGTCTCCAGTGCCCTCAAAGAAGGCCGCAAGAACCTGCCCAACACAGCGTGCCTGGGTGCTAGAGTGGGTGCCTTACTTTGGTATCTGCTGCACGACTCAGCTGTTCTTTCCTCATGTGAATACTGATGGGGATGGAAGTTAATGTTCTCACCAGAGTCACTGGTATTTTTTTTTAGAATAAGTGCTCATTCATTTAAGCATAGCCTTCTATGCTGTATCAATATTCTTAAATATTATTTATTGAAAGTCAATGCCTAGACCTATGGCTCCTTAGGAGTTCAGAATGTTTCTGATTCTAATATTTCTTCTAGCATTATTTGAAAAGCTAAAGAAATTTTACAGCACACATATAAGAAATGGTATATATAACAGTAAAACAACACCAAAAAGCATTATTTTATTTTCATTTTAAAACTTCATGTAAGCCACAGGCAAGCAAACTTCCTGCAAAAGTCTACACAGTAAACACTTAGGATTTTTGAGTTGCTGTCTGTTGTGGTAATTCCTGTTGTACAGTAGTTTAAAAGTAGCCATTGACAACAGGGAAATGAATAGATGTAATTTATTGTGGACCTGATTTCTAAAAACAGGCAGTAGGCTGAATGGAAAATGAGGGTAGTAGTTTGCTAATCTGTGACAAAAGTTGCCTCTGCATGTTTTTTGAAGGCAACTTTTAATTTTTAACTTTTTATGACAGGCAATTTCAGCTACATACAAAAGGTAACAGCATAATGAAGTCTCATGTATTCATCACATCTTCATTAATCAATATGAGGGTCAATCATGTTTCATCTAACTTATCAATTTATATTCCTTTGAGTTATTTTAAAGCAAATCTTTGTATTTTATTAACAAATATTTATATCCATTTCTTTGTGCATGTGACACAGGATCTCGCTGCATAGTTCAGGCTGGTTTTAAACTCACTATGTTACTTTGGCTGGTCTCGAACTAAGAGTGATTCTCCTGCCTCAGCCTCCCAAGTAATGGGAGTACAGGTGTGCATCACCACACCTGGATATTCATAGTCACTTCATCCATAAATATTTTAGTATCTCTAAAAACATAGCCATAATATAATTAGTATACCTAGCAAAATTAACAATACTTTCTTAAAATCTGTGTGATTGAATCAAGAGTTTAGTAAGAAATTTTCAATTGACATATCACTGAAGTCTTTTACTCAATAAATTCCCATTTTATCTTTGTTCCACCTAATGATATATTTAATGAAGAAACTGGATTATTTAACCTATACAGTTTTCCAGTGTGAGCTTTGATTATTGAATCTCAATTGTGTCATAGAGCAAGCTTTTCTTTATATCTTCTGTGAACTGAAAGTGATACATAGTCAAAAACAATAGCTGCATACATGTTTTTCATGACACTATTTATAATAGCTAAGTTATGGAGTCAGCCTAGTTGCCTATCAGTGGATGAATGGATAAAGGGAATATGGAATATATAATACATAATATTATATCTATATGAATACATTAGAGTGCTGTACAGTCATAAGAGACAAAATCATGTTATTTGCAGAAACAATCGATGGAATTGGAGATCATATTAAAAAATAAAGTTTCAGAAGGTAAACACTACACGTCTTCTCTTATGTGGAACCTAGAAAAAATTAAGGCAGAAGAGTAGAAAAGAGACTATTAGGAAAGATAAAAGAAGGTAAAGATGATTATAGGGAGGGTGCATTTGATCAAAGCAAAGTTATACACATGCATGAAAGTGTCACATGAAACCCACTGATTTTATAACAAGTATGCACTAATAATTACAATTTTTAAAAATGGAGGTATAGAAACTTGATGAAATTTTAGTTTAATTTTTTTGGTGAGAACATTTAAGCTGCTGTGTTGTATATTTACATCAGGAAATCCATTTTATGCTTTTCGCAGCTATTGATGATTACTGCCCAGATCACCTGATTCAGTAAAACTTAGAGAATAATGATATTGTAACATTTTTCTTCATAGTACTTTTGTAAATAGAGACTGCCCCTAAACAGAAAGATAATTTTTATAGGAATGGCAAATAAAAGTAGGACAAATGCATAATCTTTTCCTATTTGCCATATTTTAAAATAATACATTGCTTCTTTATCTTTTCCAAAGATGACCAATGAAATTCTTTCTAATGGCTATTTCCTCAAAGTATATAAACTCAAACCCTACCATAGGCCCACTAATCAGAGTCTCCAAAAGCAAGAGTTGGTCTCCACATGTTGACAAGTATTCCTCAAAAATTTCATTTATTGTTGAATGACTCTAAAGCATGGTCCATACCACAGCTGTTAAGTGTCTGAGCCTGAGCAACTTAGCAAGACTCTATCTCAACATTTTTGTAAAAGAAATAATTTAAAGGACTGGTGTATAGCTCAGTGTGAAGGCTCTGGGTTCAATCCTCAGTACTGCTGGTGAATGCTAAAGTCCATCTCAACACTACCATTGAGTCTATAATGTGCAATTAATTATAGCAATTATTGTGCAATTAATTCCATTGCTAATCCATATCATCTCTTTAAAATAGCCAGTAAAATAGTGTACACCAGATATTAAAACCAGAGCCAGACATGCTCTGGCTAATCACCCAGTCCTTTCAGAAAGCTGCACAGCTGGTCAGGGATACTTTTATTTTCCATTTAAAGGGTAGAAGTTGGTACCTTCTGAGTTATGGGGTTTGGGGTGTCTTTGATGTTCTTCATACCTCCAATTCCACATTCCCAGAGATCATGAGCAAGTGGACCACAGTCTAAAATTTTTCCTGAGAATTGGCTGTTCTTGCCTGAAGTATTCATGAAGACAACACATATGATAGGATTCAGGAGCAAGTCAACAAGCCATAAGTCACTATTGTTATCTGATCATTGGAGTCTAGGGGCAAATTCATTCCAATCCTACCTCTCCCATTTACTGTGTTATCTAATCTCTCTGTGCTTTGAATTCATTGTCTCTTTAAAGAAGGTAATAATAGTAACTATATCACTGAGTTAATCTGAGGATTAAATAGGTTAAATACATACAAAGTGCTTAAAACACTGCTTTGGTCTTCGATTGTTAAACACTATTATCATTTAGAACCAGCAGTGTCACCTGTGTGGTAACTTAAATTCAGTAACAGAACAGCTAATTATAAACAACCTATAAGCTGTGGCTTTGGAAAAAGCTTAGAGTCATTGTTTTAAGGACTGTGAGATCAAGAAGCATGGGACAAAAATTTCCCTTTTCAAGTTATGGAAGCGGTCACATGAATGTTGTGTTGAGCAGAG